GATGTTTGGAGCTGCCCTGATACTTCTCAGAAGTTTCTAGCAGTTCTAGAAAGCTAGCTTCACAGCTAGCTAAAAAAACCCACCTCACTCACTCTTTATTTTGGCAAATAAATTTGACAGGTGACAGATATTGTTCCTCCACTCTTCGTCCCCAGTCATTAGTGGCTTTTTTTCCTGTGCTCTTATTCATGAAAATACTTCTTCCCCCAAGTATTTCTGAGAAATACTTCTTTAAACTAGTCAAACTACTCTTCAGACTTCAAACTAGTTTTGAAAGAGTTGATATTGCCAGTTACACCAGATTCATAGGTGTGCCCTGGATCTTGCCAGATAACTGTCAGGTAACTTGCCTTGTCTGGTAATTATAACCATTTCCATTAAACACAGCACTTAACACACTCCAATGTTGCTCACGCCAAGAACTCAATATCTTATTCCATATACAAGTTGTCAAATACCAGCACCGTCTTCTGGATAACCTGCGCAAGATGTAAAAATATCACCTTAGCCCCTTTCTGTTTGTTTAGAGTCAGAGCCCTGCAGTTGGCCAAGAGGTGGGTGACCACACTAGAACGGTGCCAACAATATGCTTGATAAATGGCTCAAATGTACTTGGAAAGCAAATGCGCTGGCTATTCCAGTTGGTGTCTCTCTGGAGAAAGAGCCTGTAGAAATTAAATTTTCAATTAATAGATTCAGATTTTTTTTCTTTGTTTCGTATCTTCACAGATCCACTGCCTACTCCATAATGCTCTTAATTATGGACTTAAATTCAGAATCTGTGTATTTAAAATTTAAAAAAAAAGCCTTGGAAAAATGTTTAAAAATCCAAGAAAAGATGGAATTCTTTTAATAAACATGTGTTGCCTTAGATTCATGTATCCCAGCTCCAAATTTCTGAAGCAGACTGAATAACTGAAAGGATTTTATGCCTTGGAAGATGAATAGGACAGTTTTGTTGATAGCTGCACAGCAAGGGAATAACTTCTCATCAGGCATTGGTTTTCAGATCTGGAAAAACCGCTGTCTCATTCCCTGCCTGCTGCCGATGCGCGCATGTGTGTGTGCAGCAGCTCCAGGAAAGGGGAGCACAGGGAGAGGAGTGTCAGGAGAGGGGCCGCTGCACTAGGAAGCGATTTCTTCCAGTGGTCTGTCCTTTAGAGGAAGAAGATGAATTCTTGTTGACTATATCTTTATTAGTTTGCCCAAAAGCTATCAATGGTATTCGATGGCAGAGATCAGTCACGAAAGACTGCTGTACTGGCAGCACTCTGCTTGCTGTATGTGTGCCTTAAAAATGGCTTGTCTGTCAGCCTTCGCGCTATGCATTCCCTGGCAGAGGAAATTACTCATTAACTATGCAAACGTACATGCAGGGATTCAAGTCCCAAACTGTTTGCCAAGAGGATGTCAGACAGAACTGCTTGTTTTTGTTACGGCATGAAAATGAATGATCTGAGACAGTTCTCCCTTCTGCATTTTGAAGTTTTCATAAACAGACAGGGAGGATTTCTGTTTATATAGAGCAAGGTTTGTATCCTGTTAATATTAATATTATTCTCCATACAAAATTTTCCTGAACAAAGGATATTTACCAGCCACAAAAGTAGTCTGTCTTTCCTTTCCTTACCTGTCTTTCAAACATCATACACCATTTAAGTCTTTTAATAGAGTATAACCAAATCCCACTCCTTTCATCCAGCAAGGTGCCTTTGTCAGCTGTTAGTCTCCAGTGCAGGTTCATTGTTAAAAGACAAGGTTAAGGTTTTGTGTGCAGGGTAACTTGCAACTGGGAAAATTAAGGAAGGAAGATTAAAATCCTGTTTTAGTCTGTTGGAGACACAGAGAAAAAGACAGTAGAGGACAGGGAACCTTGATTTCTGCTTTGCATTCTTTTTTTTCCCCTTGCATCTGTGTTTTGGTAATAGGTAGATTTGAGTTAGACTTGTCTTGCCCATATTCCAGAATTACTGGCAGGCATGGCACAGACTTGCTTCCAGATATTAGCCACCAACACCCAGGGGGAGGTTTAGGCGTGTGGGAGGTGGGGAACTGCACCTTTCAGAGATCCTCAAGAATCTAGTGTTATGCAGCAAGAGACTCAATGGACAAGCCTGAGCAGCCTGAATTCAGACTTTAAATGAACAACAGTTGGATGGTTTGCCATTGCACAAGTCAAGAAAAGGCTTTCTTTTGGTATTACGCAGATCAGCTAAATGTTTGGGAGATACAAATTTGTTTACAAAGTGATATGACTTAAACTCAATAGAAAAAAATGGGAAGTTAAATGTCTAGCTTAAATGACTTCTCCCTAGTGTCCCAAGGTAGATAACAGAGAAAAAGAGGTTGCTTCCAGGTGAGATAGTAACTTGGGTTCTCTGAATTGCTCACTGGAGGAGCTTCTTTGTAGCTGCTGATTACAAGGGGAAAACTGATACAAGGGGAAAACTTATCAGGCACAAAGTTGAGATCCATGCAGAATCTTAAAGCCAGAGTTGCTTACATTAACTCCTGGTGTTGGGTTAGCCTAAGGCAGGATATGCCACAAATCAGGAATGAATCCTCTGCTTAGAATAGAAATAGGATACTGCAGTTGCCGTGGAGTAGCAAACGTTCAGGAGCTGTTATTGGTGCTTGCCCTATATAGATCACCTATGATGTTGTCTTGAGTCCAGAGCTTTCCTGAAAGGGTTTCACGGTAAAACAATGGCTGTGCAAACTGCCTGCTGCCTTGGGAGGGATCCAATGGTATTTAAATGCCTCTTGTGAGCTCCTTCTGAAGGTCATCCGGAAAGGAGAAGGCAGGAAAGGAGTATCCCATTCGAGTACCAGCTAATTCAATTTGGTGATGATTCATGTTTCATGTCCCAGAATGGCTAGATATTTCATGTATTTGTTACCTTTTATAGCAATGCAAAATATGTAGAATTGTAAAAATCACAATGACAGAACAATAGCTTAACAAAATCAAAATACACTTCTCAGTCAGCCTTATCAGCCTAGGCATTCTCCTGAAAATGTGAGTAAAACCCATAACCTTGGGAAGATCTGTCCTCTGCTTTAACGATCTTTGAAGGCCTAGTGAAAAAGTAAATGGGCCCTGTAGCAATTCTGAAAAATGGTAAATTCACTTTTTACCAAACATAGTAAAAACAAGAGTCCTGCCCTGTGTCTGATGAAATCAATGGGAGTCTTGCAACTGATGCCAAGAGCAGCTCAGTTAAACCACAGGTTGTATGGCACAATAAGACACAGATATCTTCGATTTATGAAAACCCTGGGAGCAGAAACATGCTCTGCACACTGGGTAGTGGTCAATCAGCCACCTAAGGGAAATTTTGAAAGGTGGTAAGAGAAACCTTTTTTTGCTCCTTGCTGCAACAGTCTAGAACAATGACAGCTCCTGCAATAATTGGTATGTTGTGATGGCCTTCCTCTGAATCTTGCACTTTTTTTTAATTAACATCTGATAAATTTATTAGTATGTCAGAGATTTGGTTCTTCTACATTCAAATGGAAATTTGTTCTTCATTTATAAATAAGGAGACTTACCTGTGAGAAAAAGATTAAGAAATCTGTATTTTATTTTCCAGATCAACAGCTTTTTGATTGTTTCAATATGGAGTACAAAAAACACTCCCAAAACACAAAGAAATATTCTTAGTTCCACAGTAAGAACTATGTTTGTGTACACACCTGCATATATGTACAGATATGCCATTTTTTATTCAGTCTTTTTTCTTTTCTGTGTAGTCATTCCCCATCTGACACTTCCAGGCTGATAACTTGTGGCAGCAGTGGCTTATGGACCACTACACTTCGTGATGTTACAATGTGCCACCCTCCTATGCAGTTAAATCTCTGAACTTCATATTCTGCTTGCTTGGTAGAGAAAAGCAGCCAAAGCTGGTCAGGGTTTATGCTCAGAGGCTGATGCTCCATGGCTTCCGTAGTTTCACATATGGTACTATTAAAAAAAGATATAAATAATCACCTTGTTGCATCACCAATTGCTTTCACAGGTGCTTGCACTGAATTTCAGTTTGCTAGAGGGACAATAGCTGATTTGGGCCACTCAGAATCTACTTCAGAAAACAATTTAGCTTGAGTTTGACTTTAAGAACATTAGGATATCCAACTGCGATTAACGATCACGTTTTGGTATTTTTTCCTAGTGAGGACTTGAGGCTGGATGGATCCTCTATGCAAACTGTAAGATGTCCCAAATCAGCTCTCCGCTGGATGATTTTCTCGCTCCACTGTGCTCTGCAGCACAGACCTCTAATGTGAGTAATGGTGTCAGCGTAAAATGTCGTCTCACTCTGCAGTGGCGGAGCAGAGTCCTGTCTACAGTGACTCAGAGAAACAAATAGGAAACAGCATTTCCCCCAACAGGCATCTGATTTTTCAGAACTGAGCCATTGTAATGGGATGTGCAAAAAAACCCATCATTTATGCTTTCAGACAAACATGGCAAGTGGGACTTCTAGCTCCCTTCACTTGAGCATCAGGCTTTAGCTGGTTGCCTTTTTTTCTCTCAGTATTTACTAGAAATATTGTTCTTGTTACCACTTTGTGCAGGCTGGGTTCTGGTAACTGCCAGACCAAGAAACTTGACCCTGTTTGTTTGCTATAAGTGCTGCCAGCTTTACACGCATTCCACCCTCTGGGAACCCAGGAGAGCTTGTGTTTGCCTCCTGTTGCAACCTCGGGGAGATGCCCTTTCAGGAACTCGGCTCTTCAAATAAAAAAATCTCCCTCTTCACATGAAAGCATCCTAGAGTGAAAGCATTGCAGCATATTTTAAAAGCTTTATCTGTCTGGAAATTTTCCAGACAGTCCCTTACCTACCAATGTCGTCCTCCTCCTCTCCCCCTCCCTTCTTACATCTTCCCAAGCAGATCTGTATCATTAATATTTCAGTATCAGCTGTTCACAGGCATTGGCTACACTGCAGCGCACTTCATCAATAAGAGCCGGCAAAGGCTGTGAGGTTTGCCACACTGCCTTCATCCAGCGGAGGAGTAAGAGCAAAGGCAGAGACCGGCAGAGACACCAAGTATCTGCCGAGGGTAAGGCTGCATATTGCTGTGCCAGTCTTGAGGTGTGTTTTGCTGCTGTCCTTCACTGAGATCGTCCAGGTAATACCCTAGCAAGCAATAGGAATGGATGTCTTTAAGAAAGGTTTCTCCATTGCTAAAGAAGGTGTGGTGGCTGCTGCAGAAAAGACCAAGCAGGGAGTGACGGAAGCTGCGGAGAAGACTAAAGAAGGGGTGATGTATGTAGGTAAGACAGAACTATTTTCAATCTACATTTGAGCATGAACTGACACATAAGTTGTCTCTGAGAAAGCCTGGGGAAATTATGCTGTGGCTAAAGCTTGGGAGTGAATGGCAGGAGGTCTGGATAACATCCTCAGCTCTGTCCCGGAGTCGCTGCAGAACCCTGGAATGCCACATCCTCCCTGTGCCTCAGTTTCCCCAACTGTAAATTAGACATAGGAACAGCCACTGCTTCAGGGGAGGCAGAACTAATGCAACGTTAAGGAGCAGATGCCCAGGGGGAACGTTTCTGTTATGGCTATTCACTGGTTGTTTGCAGGGCAAGTCACTTGCTCTCCAAGCATCTGAGCACTGCTCCTCTCCGCCTCACTTCCACACTCCCCGAGAGGAGCCAGCAGCATTAAGTGGGGATTGCAGGATGCATCAGTTTCCCCAAAAGCATACTGTTTTATCCTGAAATCCTTCTCTTGTTCACTGATCTGTTTCATTCCTTGTGCACACATTAATCTTGCTTTGCAAGAGACACACAAATTAATTTTGCCCAAGCAATAGGATCTGGAAAACAGCACGTCTGATGTCCTGCCTAGAGACCTCTCTCACAGTTAATGTGCTGTTTCAGAAGCCTCCCTGTTCAAGGTGACCCTCGAAACCCTCTATCTCCACTATCTAGTGCATGCAGTTATATGGCTGGATGGTCAGATATTCCAGGTACTATAAAATCTATAAAGTCTTATGTTCCCAAGACTGATTACCTCGCTGCTGATTACTGCACCTCGCACAGCTTTTTCTGTTTGCTATATGTGGGAGAGAGGGGTTTTTTTAATAGGAAAGTTTACAGGCAGACTCCTCCTGCTATCGTGCTGCAACATCCACAGCTGTACATAGCTACTGTATTTAAAACAGCTCTATTGACAATAGCTACAGATATATATTTGTACATTACAAATCAAATACACATTTTATGTGTAGCAGATCTGGTAATGCCTTCCTCCCAAAATTTTAAATACTCAGCTATCGATTGGTATGCTGTAAGTGAACACATGTAACGGGTCACATTTCAATTTGAAGCTGACTCACAAGAAAAAAAGGTAAACAGCATCCCTGTAAGCAATTAAACTAACCACAGTAGCTGAAACACCAGCCTGTGAAACATCACAGCTAGATGTCAAGTTGTGGCACTGATACTGTTCCAGCTGCTTCCTGATTTGAATGATGTCAGAGAGGGTTATTCTGAATGTTTGTACATAATTCCTCACATCTCTGTTCAGTCATGTTGTACATCTCTGTACCATGACCTGGTTTTCATTTTTGCACAGCCATGAGGTACAGAGTCTGCCTATGAGATTCTAACCTTTTCAATAAAGTTTTCTAAAAGCCTTCTTAAAACCTCAATCTCTGAATGAGGATCAAATAAGAATCAAGGTGAAGACTAAATGCTTTCTCCTTTTATTTTTTTGTCTTGGTTTGTTGCATACTGCAAGTTCCTGTCTGTCATGCACTGAAGAGTGCTTTGCCTTTGGGCTGGTGCAGTTCCTGTTGCACACTGGAGGATGCTCAGCTTTTTAGGGAAAACTCAGTCTTTCACAGGCAGGAAAAGTAAAGGCCAGATGCTGATTAGCTCGGAGAATTGATTTTTAAATAAGCAGAGAAGATGGAGGCCAGGTATGTTGATTAAAACTAGAATGATTAACATGTTGTTCGTGCTGCCTTTTCTCACTCTGTGCCACGTGATGGGTTAATCAGAGACCTGAACTATTCCTTCCTTGCTCCTTCTTTGCAGAGCCCTATCCCAGCAACTTGGTCTAGAGTGTTACGTGATGCAACCTGAATTTTTGGATGCTAGAGAAAATAGTAAGTGAGGAAAAAGCTCAAAGCCTAGGGTGGATGAAGTGGATCCTTGACTTTTATTCAGGTCTGTGTTAACTCATTGCTTGCTCTCCGAGGAGGATTCCAGATGTCTGGGCAGAACCACCAGGTCTGGTGAGTCATTTGCTGCTGCCCCAGGAGAAAAAAATAATGCTCATTCAGAGGCATCTGCCTGGAGCAGATGGTGTTACCAGGGCACTGCAGCCACCTTGTCCCTCCCCTCTGAGCCACACAGGTCCAGTTCTCACAACCTGTGCCAGGGCTGGAGATGCCTTCCTCCTGTGCTAGCACTGCAATGTGGCTCACAACCAGGCTGGTTAGGGAATGAGCATGGGGTGCTCCTGACCCACCGTGTGGCTTGCTGGATGTATGGGGTAGAGAAAAAGGTGCAGAGAGAGAGAGAGAAATCCTGTCACATGGGCCACCTTTACACTTAGTAAAATCACAGTCTGCTCCCCAAATCGTAACAGCCTCTGTTACACTGAAGTGGCAGTGGACCCTTGCACATTAATGTGTATTCAGCAGTTGATTCAATGAGCTGTCTTTTTTACTTGGTTTAAATAGGGGGATAAGTGATGCCGAAGTTCATTAATGAAGTTAATGCAAAGATGCATCAGAGTGTTGAGTATAAGGTCATTACTAGTGATTAATACTATAATTCAGGAAGCCTCAACAAAGAATGCACTTCTAGTCTTCCAGAATGCCCTTTGACCACGCGTGTCACAGAAAGCCCCAACGCAGCAAGCTCTACTTCAACGAAGTGACTCCAGCATGAACTCCTGCAGGATTTACAGCACATTGTAATATTCTTTTCTACTGTAAACCTTTTCCCCTGCACAGTGCTCCGCCACCTGGGTCACACCCTTGTGATACCAAAGCTCTTACGGATGACTCACAGCACTCAGAAGAGGCAGGATGCACGAACTTTTAATTCTGTGTACACAAGCTGCAGGCAAGGACTAAGGAGTGAAATGAGATTGAGCATCAGGTGATTGCTTTCTGATTCAACAGATGTGGGTTGCTGGCAAGGGTATATGCTGGAAGGTCAGATTTCATCTGGTACATAATAGATGCTGAGCCTGAGTCATTGGGTGTGGTCCGGAGACTGGGTTAGGAAGATGAGGCAAGCTCTCCCCAGGCTGCAGCAATGACAGTTTCTGATGCCATTGCTTCTGTCGTGAAATGGATTTGGGTGTTTTTCTTCTGCCTGTATCCCTCCTTTCTGGAATTATTTTCCATTGGAAAATATGGCACCCACCCACTCCCTTCCCCCTGCAAAAGACTCAAGCCCAGATACTAATCTTAAATTAAAAGTCTGGTAATTTTTAATGCATTTTTACTGCAAAACTGAAACATATGCAAGGCTAGTACAGCAAATTATGTATTCTACTTACCTAACAACTGCTCTTTGAAAAAACAGCTAAGCTTGAACATCTGTGTCTGAAGTGAGAAGAGCTTCTATGTCAAATCAATATTGTGGCAGTCTTTTATTGGAATGGCACTGGGAGGGAAACTGAAGCAGGACAGTGTCTGAATTGAACTGTGCGCATTCGGCCTGTTCAGGAGCTCACATTCATGGCTTGAGACTTCCACCTGCTCAGCCCACTGCTGTGCTTCTGTATACATTTGTATATGATGGGCATCACTATTACATCCAGTTTACAGCAGTGCACACGTATCATATGCATCATTAGGAACTGCAGTTTACAGCAGCAACGAGTATAAAGTACAAAGATTTCATCAGTGTGCAGTTCAGGAGGGTGGAGTGAAATGTTGAGGGGATATTGTAGTAGAACAGCTTTATTCTGCCCCAGGCAACCATTACAACTACCAAAATAAATCAACAATTGAGAATTACGTTCAATAATACATAAGGTGTATCGGGCAGAACAGAGCTGGGCTGGATCTGTCGTTATCAGGGCACCACACCTGTTTTGCTTTTCAGGCTGTTAATGAGAACGAGATGTGGTTTGTAGCTGATTTCTCCCACCACACCCATGGATGCTCCAGTACCTCTGGAGCTAAAGATCTGCCTGATTCTCTATCATTTTGACAGTTGGCCATAAAAATCCTTTTGTTGTATCAGTATGGGAAACTTGAAAAGAGCCTCTATAGGTGCAGATAAATTACAAAATACAGTAAAGTGGGACCAGTGGAACCTTTTAGCATGTGTTTGTTTAACTTCCAACAGAGATAAATCTGATCCTTTACGTTTGTAATGTGAAAAAGCATCTAGTTACTGTGTGGCCTGCCCATCTACCATATGATTTAACATACATGCTGCAGTACACAAATAGAAGGGATATATAGCAGGTCACTTGAAGCCTGTAAGATTATTTATTCCTTAAGGGCTACTTGTGTTGCAAACCGAATGCCCTCACATCCTGTTAGCTTTTCTGCCTTGAGAACAGCGAGATAAATTACCATGTAAGAATACATATGGTGTACTTTTATAATTTGAGATAAAAACATCTGCATTCTGTGTATCGCTGCAAGCAGGCACTTACAGCCAGGGCTGAGGCATCGAAATGAGAATCTAATAAGCAGGTATGTAGTAGGTGCATGGTTGTTCTGTCAATTCAGCCTCAAGTTTCTCCAGAGTCTTTATTAGAGGTGGAGAATGAAGCTTTAAATGACCACTGCAGCCAAGTATCCTG